TTCCTAATTATAATCCAACTTATTGGATCCGTACCAAACGTCATTATCCAACCGTGACGATTTTCTAAATATTAAATCCTATTGCTCTGTTAACACCGGTACCATTTCAATTATTCTGCCTCCAAAATTCGGAGGAGCTAAGTTACCAATTACCAAACGCTACATTTGTTGGTGGGGTTCATGGGGGAACCCCTGGGACACTGGTACGCCTTGGCAAAGTCCCAGGAATTGGATAAGGGGCCCAGAACCCGGATGGGTCCGGGCGAATGGACGCTGGACCTTACTTTGGTGAGGGCGTCTTCGGGTCGCATCGAGCCGCACCAAATCTGGGCGTAGTTGAGGAAGAAGAGTTGGTCGTGGGTGAGGTTGAGACCAGGGAGGAGGTCCTCTTCTCCGTATTGGGCCACCCATTTTTTGTAGGCCTGTAACAAAGTGAAATTGACGGTCAAACAGTGAACCTATAAGGGTTCGTTTTTTTTCCTTTTGAGGTATGGAACCCGAAAAATAATGGAAACGGAAATATAAACCCTTCACTTTTTGGGTATACACCATTAGGTATACAGGGTGTCCCAGGCTGAGGGTTCATTAGAAGTTTCTAGAGAACTATAATATCTAGATCGAGGATTTTTTGCACATAATTGTTTCATAACGAGATCTATCGATTAAAAATATTTTCAATATGACGGCACTTCCGGAAATACCGGAAGTCGACAGCGACAAAAAAATAAACACTATAACCAAAAAAATCCAAACAAAAGAAGCAGTCCAATATCCAAAATTTTTAAATAGGTATAAATCCTACACTTTCTGGGTATACCCAAATATATACGAGTACTAAAATTTACCCACAGATCATCAATGGTTGTGGTGAATCATTGAGAACAGTTTTGATGCAACTTGTGTTTTGAATACTTGATAATTATATTTGCAAATTAGTTTTATAAACAATATAGCTCATCAATATAATCTTACCCTAAATGATTGTTTTAATCCTCCATTATCAGCGATATTTTCTCCTTGTGTCATTCTCCCGTTAACGTAGAGACCAACTTCGTCTATTTTATACCGAGAATACTGGTCAATGATGCACTGAGTCCTTTCCCGAAATGCCTTGATAGTAGCGTTGTTCCACCATTGCATCATATTACCGTCTTTGTCAAACTGCCTGCCTAAAACCCAATATATAACTGTTATTAAATGTATCCTTTGTGTTGTTTAACAGAATACCTTTGTCATCAAACCCATGGGTAATTTCATGACCAATAACCACACCAATTCCGCCGTAGTTTAGGGATTTTGGAAAATGTTGGCTGTAGAAGAGAGGCTGGAGTATACCGGCCGGGAAAACTACGAAGATTATAGAAAGGAACTGTCAAAAACATTGGAAAATAATAGAAAATACACTACTTAAAACAATTATCGCATATTTGAATAAAAGTAATTATTACATATTTCTAAATGAAACATGCATTTTTCTGCCTTTCTTTTGTGAGTTTTATTTTAGGATAATTAGGGTACGCATTGATATGTAATTTTTAGTCAGCCGATTATTTAGTTGCAAAAGTGAAAACAATACATTCTTATGAAGCCGATCGGCCCAATATTTGATTACAATGTATCCTTAGGCTATGCGCTGACAGGCAATTCTTAATTGGCCGACCATTCGGTTGCATATTTGTAACCAATATACCGGGTGCGTCTCAGAAGTGGCTCACCCCTATAACTTTTTATTTTTTCAGATAAAAAAACGAGATTTGGTATGTTAGTATATGACATAAATTAGGATTGGTTGACGTATTCATTTATTTTTGGTCACTTCCTGTTTCACTGGAAATTACTACAACTTTTGATTTTTGAATGGCACCCTCGGTATTTTTTTACATTATTCGATAGAAAATCACATTCTGAATGGCTATGTTAAAAACACTAATTCTTAATCAAGGAGCCTTGTCCTGGCCAGTTAGAAAATGCTCAAATCGTATTTTTAATCATATCTCCGGAACGAGGGTGGCTCATTAGCATATTTGGAAAAGGCATTTTTTACGAATAATTTGATATAGTCTGTAAAACGAATAACTTTGAATTTGACAGTTCCCGCGGGCTTTTCTAGTGTTAATTTTATTAGGTTAGCAACTTGCGGCCATGCTGACGCAATGCCGTCTCTAATAGAACAGCCTAGGAGCGAGATTTATGACGTCACACTAGTTAGATACTACAGATTAATAACTATGTTGTAGAATACATGAAAAACATAATTATTCCTCGATTTGTTGGTTTGTATTTTATAAATGATATAGTTTACATGAAATATACGTAATATACAGTTAATAAATATTAATATATACAGAAATACTTTGGCAGATAAACTATGTACCATACAAATGCAGCAAATATTACAATATGACTGAACAAAATCTGATAGTCATCGTAGATTGTTTTGTGTGTTAAGAATAATAATTTAAAAAAATATGTGGTCATCTTTTGACAAGTTTATATTAGTTTATTAATTGCAGTAAACATTATAATATATAAATAATTTTTGTGAATGCAAATAATAATACATCACTATTAGTAGATATTGAATGTTTTTTGTTAAATTAGATCGATTTTCAAACCCTAAATTTAAAATATATTTTACATTTTACCCATTATCTTATGTACCACCTATTCATTATTTGTATATTGTAAAACATTTGCTGTATTTGTATGGTTCATAGTTTATTTGCCAAAGGATTTATTACTATAAATAGGTATATATTATATTGTATTTATTAACTTATATTATGTATATTTCATGTAAACTATATCATTTTTAAAACACAAACCAAAAATACGAGGAATAATTATGTTTTCCATGTATTCTACAACATATTTATTAATACGTAGTATCTAACCAGCGTGACGTCATAAATCTCGCTCCGTGGCTGTTCTATTAGAGACGGCATTGGTCTAATATTTAGAAATGTCAAAAGCTGATACATTTTACTTTGTCAATTATGACATTTCGTGTTGATTTTTGCAAGACGAGGAAGAATTGTCACTTGTTTTATTATTTTCCTTTTCTATTTCACGAAAGTAAAAAGAGTTACCTATCTGATTCGTTCAGGCTAGTTCAGGCACTCAATTTAAAGAATATCAGTAACTTTTTTGACAGAGGGATTTTATATTTGCCATGTTGGTAAAAAATAACGGTCAAAATTCAAAGTTATTCATTTTATAGACTATACCACACACTTGGTATTTCGAGTCAAATTTTCGTTATAAACCGCAAGGTCTAATTTTACATAAACCATATGCAAAAATGTCAAAATTGACATATGATATGTCAATAAAGTAAAGAAATACCAAGGGTGCCTATCGAATAAAGTGGTGCCTATGGAATAAAGTAAAAAAATACCAAGGGTGCTATTTAAAAATTGTCAATCAAAGGACGAAACAGGAAGTGACTAAAAAACAAGGGAATACGTCACTCAATCCTAATTTCTGTCATATACTAACATACCTGACTGACCAAATCTCATTTTTTTAACTGAAAAAATATATAACCTCATGGAGTCGCGCTCACATGCAATCAAATAGTCTGCCGATCGACTTCATAAGTATGTATTGTTTTCACTTTTGCAACTAAATAGTCGACCGACCAAAAATTACAGGTTAGCACGTAGGCTTATTGAGTCTAATTTCCTCTCACAGTATCCATATTATTTAAAATCGTAAGTCAGGGAATTCAAAGTGTCTTGTTTTTCAAATTAATATTTCTTTTTTCAGAAAATATACGATAATTGTTTTGAGTAGTTTATGTGTTTAACATACCTATATCATTTTTATTCGGGTTATAAAAGGCATTAACTACTGCAGGTTCAGTGGACCATTTATCTTTGTCCACTGGCTGGCGAAGCCTTTGCAAATTTTGTTCAGCGTCGAATTTTAAGATGTTTAGGATGTTCTTTAAAAAATCTTTTTTAGTGAGGTTTAGCTGAAAACGTTGAAAATGTTTGAACTGTTTTATATTTTAAGTTGCATATGACTTGGAAATTGTGTTAAATTTTG